GTTGTGTTTTGTAAGGAACACTTATGTGCCTATTATCTGTAGATTGCACTGCGGTAACTATATTTTGCAATATTTGAGTTTTTTGCAATTTGTAGCAATGGTACTTGTTTCTTTTTAAAATATTTCGTACAATTCTAGCACCAATATCAGTTTCTCTTGAATTTGGGGTGCTGTTACAAGGAAAATGATTATTAGGGATAAACCCTAATAGAGAAACTATTGAAATACAACAAGCCTTTCGTCCTAGTCTTTATTGAATGATTTGGACACTATTGAATTAAGCAAAACGTTACAGGCACACGTTGCAGGTCAAATGAAGAATCAGGGAACCACCACAACTCACAACTATTTTGTTAGCGTCGGAAGTGTGAAAGTACGGGGATTTTCCCACGAAGTGATCCGCCCGAAAATGGTTTCCAACTAGTTTTTAACCGTTGTTTTAAAACAGTTGCGTCGTGGGCGCTGGACCTTAAAAGGCTACGATACTGCGATGCGGAAAGCAAAAAGAAAACTACTGCATTATATTCCTCAGCAGATCCGTCCATAGATTTTTTCTTGTCATATTGAAAGAATCAAAATAAACGGCCACTACTGCCGGGCAGATCTTGAATGGTGCAGGGTGCGAAGAATCTCCCGGTTTTAACTTGCAGCACGCAAATTACAAAATCTAATTAAGGAAATGAGCAGAATTAACCTCGATGTTCTAGGCATAAACGAATTGCGATGGGAAGAACACAAAACACAAGAATAATCAGCAAGCACTAGTGGAAAAACCCATTAGTACTTATCCTAACCACCGACATGGGGTTGAAGTTCTTATAGGCGAAAATTTGGGCGTCTCCGTGAAGAACTTTGTTCCTGAAAGAGTCATACTCTTTCGGGAACAAAAAGTATATCATACAAGTCTACGCCCCTACAGCAGACAAGTCAGAAGAAAAACTAGAGCGATTTTGTCAACAACTAGATGAAGCCTTAGGGTGCGTTCATTCCGGAGACCAACGCAAGGTATCCTCGCCTAGAGCATAGCACTGACAGTGAAATACCTCTATCAATTCAAATTCAAATACCTCTATCAAATCTTTGAAACACGCTTAAATGTTTAAATATTTTATTAGTTTTTTTTTTTCAAATATTACGTTAAACTGAACAACAACTCGAACTAAATTTAATTGTACAAAATTTTCCTTGTTTGATTTAGATGGCAGAGATGTGAAATCAGGTTAAAAATAAAACAGAAGTGAATGGTATTTTGGTAAACATTCACTTTGCCAATATCGTTGCATAAGTAGTTTAATCTAGACGAATCCTCTCTACAAATTTTATAATTGTTCTAGTCAGAAACGAGAAGATACTAGTTTTATCTAAATAATATCTGAAAATATCATTTTCAGGTTCTTATTTAAACTATTTTACATAGAATTCCAGAAAATACCACATATTTAAACAGAAAATTTAAAATATCGAAAAATGTAGCATAGAAACTCACATTATTTTTGTGTTTTTACCATGGTCCTTTTTCAAGTTATGATCGTGGTTTTTTCTCGACCTTTGTATCATACAGATCTTTTGTTTTTCGTCTTACTACTGTGTGTTCTCTCAAAGGTCTCCTCTATTCTTGTATCTAGAGAAAATATTTCCATCGTTTTTCTCCATTGTTCTACTGATCTTTCTTTATTTTCTACCTTATTTTCCTTTTGCTTTTTCTTATTCACATAATTTTCAGCATTAGTCCAGTCATCAGAGATTTGACTCCTAAAAATCATACGAATAAGCTGAGTTTTGCAGAGAATATCAATTTTGGAGCCAAACCACCCTTGTAGGGGGGTAAAAACGCAAAAAATCGATTTACCAAGAATCTGTAAGCCGCAGAAAAAAATGTTTCAAATAAAAAATGTAGCTGAGATAATTTTGAACAAGAATGTTCATTACCACTTTTTGCATAGAATGAACCGTTTTCTCAGAAACAACGCTTAAAGCGATCGGCGATTTTAATGTCAGTTCCGCGAGCGAAATCAATGTTAAATAAAATTTGTATCAACTTGACGGTAAAAAATCGATATCTTTTGATTCAAGTGACCTATCGACAAAAGCAAGATGCGCTTTATAGCTAAAGAGTGCAGATTTCTTATGCATTTTGAACATAGAGATTTTCGGCAAAATTTAGCTTGTTCGTATGATTTCTAGAGATTCAGTGGCATTTTCGTCTCTGACGACTGGAGTATATCGTCAGCAGTCTACTTGTTCTAATCTACACATCAACCATCTTGTCGTCACACTCTCCTTTAACATTACTTACTGTCTTTTTCGCTCTCTAGTTGTCGCCCTGATCTTCATATCTACAATTCTTTGCTATTTTCACCTTTTAATTTTTTTTACATTTCTTTTCCTTCTCCCCATCATCCAACCTTTCCTCAATTTGCTTCAGTCGCATTGTTGTCTATTAACTTCCTCCATTTATCATTCGCTGCCTTTTTGTTGTTTCGTAACAGTTTCTTGTCTATTTTTTACTTGGTCTTGAAGGTCATGCTATTTTTCTATCTTCTTGGCTGCATTATTATTTCTTTTCTGACTATTATTTCCTTGTTCACTTCATCCTTTTTTTTAACGCCTGTTTACTTTCTTCGCTTATTCAGTTGATTCCTCTCATTCATCTTACACTTATTTCATCCTGATTTTTGAATGCGTATATCTATTTGATTTTATTCTTTTTTGTCAATAATTATAAGGATGATAGTAAAGTACTAACGCACACCTCTAAGCCAATATCTTCACAGTTCAGCTCTTCCATTTTTAACGATCCCTGAACTTCAAACTCGTTGCTACTCTTTCCTCATTTATTCTTTATAAATGATTTTTACAGTATGACTGATTGAGTGACTATGTTTCACTTGGATTTTAGACTATTGTTCCATCATCATCATCATAAGTGGCTCGACAATCCGTTGTGGATCTTGGCCTGCTCACAAAGGTCACCACTCCTGTCCATTCCTGGCAACTTCCCTCCATCTTCTGACCCTTAGTCCTCTGCTTCTTATGCCATCTAATTTTGAAAATGTTAATTTCTTCATGTATTCGCAATCTGACATCCTAGCAATGTGTCCAGCCCATCTAAGTCTCTGCACTTTAACGAATTTCACAATATCTAGATCGGTGTATAACTGATATAGTTCAAAGTTGTATCTTCGATCATCATCATCTTTGGCTCGACAATCCTCTGTGGATCTTGGCCTGCTCTAAGATTCGTCGCCATTCTGTTCGGTTTTTGGCAACATGCTGCCATCTTCTGATTTTTAATATTCGTAAGTCGGTTTCTACTCCATCTAACCACCTAATTCGCGGTCGGCATTTACTTCTTTTTCCTACAGGTGTTCATGTGGTTAGCTTTTTAGCAATTGTATTTTCTGGCATTCGTATTATGTGTCCAGCCCATCTATGTCGCTGTGTTTTAATGAACGTTATGACATCTGGCTCATCGAAGAGCTGATACAATTCAAAATTATATCTTCTGCGCCACTGCCCTTGGTCGTTTACAGCTCCAAATATTTTGCGGAGTATTTTACGCTCAAATATTCTCAAAAGTCTTTCATCTTTCTGCGTTAGTGTCCATGTTTCTGCTCCATATGTGAGGACCGACCTCAGCAATGTTTTGTATATAATAATTTTAGTTCTTCTTTGAATGTTTCTTGAGTGGAAATGCTTTTGGAGTCCATAGAATGCCCTATTTGTAAGATTTATTCGTCTTATGATTTCTTCGCTTGTTTTATTGGTAGCAGTCAAGAGCGACCCAAGGTATGTGAAGTTGTCAACACGTCCAAAGGTATGACTTCCAAAGACTGTTCTGTATACATCGTTCATCTGTTCTATCGGGGATCTCCTCTATCGACCAAAATTTTTTGGCTTCTTGCTTGCTGTTAATAACTTCTTCTATTAATTGTGTTTTATGTTCATCTTTATACTTTCCCAATATTTTTATTCAGTTTGATTCTCAGCTGGTGGATGTGTTTCGAAGTTTTATCTAATCCAGTTTTAAATTTTTCCTCCCCGAGTTGATGTAATATCTTTTTATTTTTCTCTGGGATCGTATTAGTTTACCCTTAAAATTAAATGAGATGATTGTCAGATCCTCTAATAGATACAAAGCCGATATCTGCTCCAGTATATGCGATGAGACATATTATTCACGTTAGTTCGAAGGCAACTGTAAATGCAGTAGAAAAGTAAAGCCGGGTCCAAACTATGTAACAAAGCATGTTACATAACAAAGTTACAACAAATTTGTTTTATAACTTTGTTTTGTAACTTGTTATAATATAACATGGCATCCAGACTATATAACTAAAAACAACACAACAAAATGCGTATAACTTTTAGCTGGATGTCTGGTAGGTTAGGTAGTATATAAAATGGCGTCATACGTAGATTTTTTGTTCAATTTCGCTTGTATCTGCTTTCACTTCTCCGGCTATTTCACTGCATGCATCGTGTTTTTTATTTAGATTTTTCAAATCCATGAATGTAGGATCCCATAATACCCGTTGTTCCCGAAATAGCTCAATTAAATGAGTAGTCAGTTCTTTCGACCATTCCATCGCGTAAATAAGAAATAACCCCACGTGAACAGAGCAAAGAAAAATTTAGCAAAATCACTCAAGAATCGTAATGAACAGGGCGATATGACTCCGACGGTTTCTGCACGCGTACTATGCCAAAAACTGTTGGATAACATAAAACTTGCTATATAACCAGAAAAATGTTATACAACACTGTGTTTTTTAAATTTTTTATTTAAAATTCTGTAACAAGTTACAAAACTTTGTTATTTAACATGATCTATCATTTACATAGTCTGGACCCGGCTTAAGAATATCGTAAAAGTGCATCTCTAGCAGGCAGATAAAACTCAGCGATATATTTTTGACGAAGAGACACCAAAATGATAGACGTTAAAATTTATTTACTATAAAAAGCTTATAGAGTAATATCATCAATTTCTTTTACAGTCCTGGGATTCATTTTTTCGAAATTCTTCTCAAGGAGGCGCCGGGTACCAAGCACCACCATCTTTAGCACCTTTAGGAAAGAATGAGCTACCAGTCTCCTCCTTTCTGCCGGCCTTGGCCGGATCCACCGGTCTTGGAGCAGCACCGATCAGCGAAAAGGTCATCGACGACCACTTGGCGGTTCAAGCTATCATCAGAAGTTACCAAGTAAGTGGAATATTCTATTATTGTTATTTTAAAGGTTCGTTAATCGTGCAATTGTTTACGAAATAAAACGAAAATGTTTGTAAACCTGCGTTTAGTTCAAGGTTATTTCATCGTTATACTAAATTCCCTTTAATTTATAGAATATCTTGGTATTTATTTAATCTTAGTTTGGGCAAAATGATGAGTCACTTATCACAAGTATATTAATTCTATTACAAATATTTAAGACATAAACATTATATTAAGTATGTAGTTTATTTTAGTAATCGTTTTTACATTTTACTAGATTTTTTGAAGTAGTTTTTTTACGTTTTCGTATACAATAATAACGAGAAATAGAAGTTAAAGAGGAAAAACAGATTAAGAATAAATGGCGAGAAACTGATTTTATTAAGAATATATTCAAGTAATAAAGTAAAGGAATAACTGAAATTAACAAATAATAGTGATATCCTGGAAATAAAAAAATGTATATGTTATGATCTCTGATAAAATTCAGATATGTGTATGGGGAGAAAATAAGATGGAAAATTATGACCTTAATAAACCAAAAGGAAATATGCCAGTAATACCTGAGCAATGAAAACATTAGGTAAAAAATGTCGACAGAAAGAAATTATCAGAGCTCTGTTCTGAAGAACAAACAGCGACCATTGTTGGGCACGATGAATAAGAATGCCGCCGCGCCATAAAACTAAGTAATAAATCTGTTACCAGAATACATATTTGTCAAGACACAGAGAATCAGATGGATGCGAACATTTATAGAACTGTTTGTTAATGAAAAAATAATACATACTTGCATTTATATTTATGATTTTGCATAAATTAGTTTTTATCTATAATATTAATTATATATTTTTCAGTAAAGGAAGATAACACGAATATTCATACAATTATACATGTTTATTTTTAATATGATAGCAGTAGTATGCAATTATTATAGAAATCAGAATATTACGAATCTACGAATAATTTAATATGTAGATAAAATGCTTTTTTTATTGTATGATTCACGGTTTCTTCGCATTGAAACATGTACTATGTGTGGTCGGCGGACATTAGCAGACAAGTCAATTTTTGAAAAAATTTTTGTATTTATTAAAATCACCTAAAAAAATATCTACCGCTGGAATAAAAAAGACAAGTCAAATGTTATACCTGTGGTTCTCTGAGCTTCATAGGTCATCACAGGCAGCAAACGTTGGTCAAATGTTTTACGTTTTAAAGAAATTGGTTGGATATAAGCTACATGCTTAGAAAACTGGAAGATGAGTACACCAAATGGGGACTCACAATTAATATACAAAAAACTGAGTACTTAGTTGTAGGAGAAAAACCAGAAAGCCTACAAATCGAAATGGGAACTATAAAACCAACAGACAATTTTAAGTACTTGGGAGTCCAAATAACATCAAAAGCAGGAAGTAGCGAAGAAATACATTCCAGGATTGGCCAAGCAAGATCAGCCACCAGATAGCTACACGGACTATTATGAAATAAAAAAATAACAAAAGAAAATAAAAGAAGAATTTATAAAACAATAATAGAAAGTATTGGACTGTATGGCGCCGAACTCTGGGAAATAAACCAAAGAAACAAATCAAAAATTAAGGCCATGGAAATGAACTACTGGAGACGATGTTGCCAGCTCACTAGACTTGATAGGGTGAGAAACGAAGATATTCGGAGAGAAATGGAAATCGATCTAGACATAATAGACACAATCGAAGCCAAAAGACTTAACTGGTATGGACACCTTCAGAGAATGCCGGAAAATAGATGGCAAAAAAAAATAGAAGAATGGACTCCGCCAACTAGAAGAAAACGAGGTAGACCAAGACGATCCTGGAGAGACGATGTCGACGATGCAATGACCGCCAGAGATCTAACAACTGAAGATTGCTTCGACAGAAAACGCTGGAAATTAGAATGCGAGAAGCGGCGCCAGCTGTAGAAGACTCGCTTGTTATGTTATTATTTAAGAAATTGGTATATCGCTTTTAAAGATGTTTTCCATAGTCTGCACATGCTAGGTTTATTCTTCTTCGTGGTTCGCACGTTTGGTTGTCTCTTGTGATCTTTATTTCGTGTCCAAGATATATCTATTTTTCTATCAGCTCTACTTCGTTGTCTCCAATATTGATATTTTTTTATTGATATATGTTTTGCTTGCGATAAATTTATTATGCAATTAAAAATTTGTACAGATGACCAGAAAGAAAAACTCTCTTCTCTCAAGCAGATCCTCGAAGTGCTTTATCCATGATGCGTTAGATGCCACACTTAATCTAACGTTGTTTTTATTGATTGTTCCAACAGTTTGTATAGATCTTCAGGGTTCTGAACTCTGTATGCCTCTTAGTTGGTCGTCTGTGTATTCGCACTTTTTCGCAGGCTTTATTTTTTTGTAATTACCCCTTGTGTTACCTCTATTCAACTTTTTTTATTGTGTTTTTGTTTATCTTTCTCCCTTTTGCAGTACTTTTTAATTGTTTCCTGTGAGCAAAAATAACATTAGCGGTGTTCGGATGGGTAGGATGAAGGAAAGTCTTTAGCCAATACCCAAAAATCGGGGAGAGGTCGATCAATACTCGACCAAGGTGAGGTACGATACAGAAGGACGACGAAAGCGATCGTTCAACACTAGACTGCCGAAGCGGAAAGGACGGTGGGCTCTGCTTACCACTCAGAGAGCGGGGGTAGAAGTTCTTACCAGATTAATACTCTGTATATAACTTAATTCTCGTCGCTCTGCACATCTTAGGGCATATACTCTCGGCTTGGGCTCAATTTCCTATGCGCATCGATGGTATAGGTAGATTTATAGAGGTGGCCTTTTGGTCTATTCCACTGCGACCTTTTCAGATGCATTGTGGTCCTCTAGTCCTAGATAACATTCTCTAACGTGACCCTTTTTAAAAATTCTAGACACTGTAACTACCATGTAGCTAATTGCCGGTGGATTTTCTTCTCCTAATGCAAAGAACCGCACATTTGCCAGACTGTCACAGTGACACAGAATGTGCTCTGCTGTTTCTTCTTCGAGGTGACAGAATCTGCACAGGTCATCATCTGATAATCCCATCAGCTTCAAGTGCCTATTCAGCTTACAGCGCCCTGTTAGAATACCTACTTTGGCTTTGACTGTTTCCCTGTCTTTGCTTATTAGATTTGCCTTCCATACATTCTGGCGAATGTTCTATAATGAACTGTTTCGCCTGTCTTTGTTCTGGTGAATTCCTCCATCATTCCAGAGATTATGAGCTACCCACTTCCTTTCAGGCGTTCTTGTTTGAGCGCATCGATGGTTGTGTGGTACTGTTGGCAAGTGATGACTGCAATACCGTTACAAGTTACGGTTCAAATCTAAAAGAAAAAGGTATTAGAAAAATATTTGGAAGAAAATTATGAAACAGATTATTGGTAAAGAGAACAACTATTGAATTGGAGAAGATAAATGGAGAACCAAATATTTTAGGGACTCATACTAATACAAAAACAGATGGTTGAAACATATCCAAATAATGTATAGACGAGACTACCTAAAAGAATACTAACTTTAGGAATTAAAAAGAAAAGAAAAAAAATCAATACGGAAGAAGAAATATCACAAACGACTCTTGGAAAAGGATATTCCTACGTGACAGACAAGATCCAAGTAGACCAGAAGATATAATCTATATAAATCAGAAAATATTTAAACAAATGAAATTTGAAGATAAGCAAATGAAGTTTAGTTACTTTAGAAAAAATATCAGTTTTCAAAACATTCTTAATAGTTTTTTAATAATAATGCTAATAGTGTTGACTCAGATAAGTTAATTATATCTAATTAAGCCTAACCTCATTAAGCTACTGTTCACTTCTTATTTTTATAAATTACTATTTATTATTGTTTTTGATAATTATGGCGTAAATGAACTACTTCGAAAATAGGACACATTATTCTAATCCAAATTGCTGGAACACATTTGTTTTCTATGCTGTCCCATATAATCAATGAAAAAACTACGGCGTCATAGAACTATCATCTATTTTTCCAACTAAGCTAATAATTTGAAAACTACATATACATTTTATATAAAAATATCCACACCTGTTGAAACACTATTAGTAAACTAAGACCTTACTAGATTATTCAGTTACGACATGCCTAACAAAGAAAAACAGGGTTTTTTTGTCGAGGAAAAAGCAAGTTTTTATTCGACAAAAATTATTTCGTCAATAGACTACGTCTTACAAGGTAGCTTTTCAGTTGCTCTGGCCAGATGTCCCGTTCACTGTAGACGTCTACTTTTTATAACAGTAACTCTCATCTTTGGTTTCGGCTATTTCATTCTATTTATTGTATAGCTCGAAATTATATCGACGACGCTAAGTTCCATTATCATTTATTGGGTCTTTATATTTTGAGTATGTTTCCCCCAACTATATGTAGTGTGTTTTAATCTGTATTAAAAAACACCGTTGTCTCAGATCCATACATTAAGGCTTTGAATATTAAGATTCTGTATACCATTATCTTTGTTTTTCTTACGTTATTTTAAGGTGTTTGATAAGTTCGTTATAACTCTGCTTGCAAGCATTCTTCTTCGACTTATTTCTTCCGATATTATGTTCATGGTGTGTTCACCATGATTCCCAGTATCTGCAGTCTGCCCCTAAGGCGATGAATTTTCTTTTGCTTTCGTTGATGATTAGACCCATATTATTTGCTACGTTTAAGAGTAAAATGAACGCATGGGCCAACATCTGGGTAGATTTATTAAATGTTATACCTAGTTTGTTCAGTTCTGCATCTCTTCTATATCTTTCTTGATCGAAATTTTAAAAAGGATTCACGTCAGCACATTTCTCTGTTGGTGGTGAATTCTTCAGAATGGCTATTTTGGATTTTTGACTTTACAAATGATTTTTTACATTGTCATCTTTCCCAACTTTATCAATTCACCAAGAATTCTGAAGCTATCAAGCTAAATTTTGCTGAAAATGTCAAT